GTGCTAATGAACACCTGAGCTGGTCTCCAAATACATGATTGACAGTTGTATATATATTAAATGATGACCCATGATTAAATAGATAAATTAATGGAGTGTGGAGGCGATGAAAACTTTTGATTTGTGATGTATAATATGTACCTATTTGTTACTTCCCTTTATAAGGAAGTAGAGTTCCACATTGTAATCAGGACCTTGCACTAATGTAAGATAATGTGCACAGTAGTTGACTGAAAAGAATCTTTTCGTATCTAACAAAGGATACATTCAAAAGTTGTGCTGCAGCTAATACTAACTTTGACAAGGGTAGACTTTAAATAGGGATTCCTGTTTTAGGTATTAAGTTAAATGAGTATGTTTGTGTGCGAGTAGTGTCTATATGATTAAGTAGAGAATGAAGATATGGATGTTTGAGAGCTGGAAACATTGCATTATAATTACAAGGGGTGAGGTAAACATATTCAGAGTGCACAGTTTATCAGGTAAATCAGAGAATTTAATTATGTGTGTTGCTGAAGGTGAGGAAGTGATATCATCTGGACCTTGGGTCTCAGTGTAGTAAGATGTGATAATGATGTAAGATTGATATGTATTTAAAGTGATGTTCGTTATTGTAATTCAGACTGATTCATTTTCACTTGTGCTAAGAAATGATAACATTAATGTTACTTGTTCATTTCCATGTTGTATTGAATGTGTGCCAATGACATTTTATGTTTTGACTGCGGTGATTTGGTCATGGTTGAATGACCTGACTGTTTGGGATATGTGGTAACTTGTAGGCATACAGTTTACAGAGATTATATGGACAGACAATAGTGTTATATTTTCCAGTTTCAGAAACGTTCCTAAATCATGGAAACTCTAAGTAAGTTTTCTCAAAGTTGAGCATCAATTAAAAAAAATCTCATTCAAGAAAGTGTTATTATGATCTGTTTTAAGTTTTTCTATGAAAAATCTGCAACAAGGTAAAATGAATAAAGAAATGGAATGTTGATGAAATTGGGACTGGTTTAACTTGAGAGTTTGACCAAGAGATAATACTAGATTATTTAGTATGTAAAACGTTATTGTCAAAAGAGGGATATCATTTCCAGGAAGGCTTTATCATCAGCAGTCCTGGTCCTGACGGCTATTTTTGATACTACTGTTGTGTAGTTAACTATTTCATTTACAGATTGTGATAATGATAAAATAATATTAAAAAGGAGAATATCAAATTTTGTAGTTGTTTGTTCTATTTCATTCCCTCACTATTTGTGATACCAAAGTACCCACCTTTGTTGGTTGATGCTCCCTACCCATGGCGGTTGGTGTTTCAAGTGCTGCGAAAGGGCCGAATTTTGCAGTCATGGTTGAATCCCCTGACAAGACACTTTACCCTCATTCCTCTGGATGACAAGCGACATGCCTCCATTTTTACTGTTCCTTGAGGTAGTCACTACCTACTACTAAGCGACCCTTTACATAAAGACCTGACTGTCCATGGGGATACAAACCTATCGAGCAATGCTATAGACTAATAAGGTTTGTTCCATTTAACATTAAAACGTTAATTTTTAAAACGATGTAACATATAAAAAATACGGATAGGAAAGCGAGATTGTTACTATCAAGAAATGTTAAGTTTTACATGCGAAAACTATATTTTGTCAGCCGTGCTTCAAAACCGCTCCTAATGCTGATTTTAGAGAAATGTAAACAGCTGATGTAGACTTAATTTCCAGTTCAAGAGAGAATATTTGTGCTAACATTTGAAAATACACATCTGTAATTTAGAGTTGACATGGAAAGGATTTTATTACTTGTTACAAAGAGTATAAGTTTAGTCCTCTTGGACGATAAAGACAATTAAATTAAATAGGACTTTAGTCCTTATGATGGGGATACCAATAGTCCATTGGAAGGTATTGTCACTAATCACAACAAGAAACATATCGTCAACCAGAAATTTTATCGTTATCAAGATCTACTGTAAAATCTTTAATTTTCGTGGGGTTTTTAATATTCGTTCATTTCATCGCTGGTACTCTTAATTTACGAATTCATATATGCAGAATCTGTCAGAATTGGTACAGAATATGTACACTTATTGAGGTATAATTATCCACGAAGTTAAGTGTCCACAAAAAAGTAATATTTTGAAAAACGACGCGAATTGAGCACACGAAAATATATTACCTTATAGTATTTGTCTGCAATGTAGTTCACGGCTATATATCATGAAAACGTGGCTCTCATAGGGAGAGTATACCATTGATAAAATGTGATCCTGAGAATGAATGAAAGTTTTTTTTAAGGTGAGATGCCTTAATCTTACATATTCCCACAGAGTTCTTCGAAATCTGAATTCAACTTCGGAGCATATACTAAGAGGTACCGACACAATTTTGTAACACTGGTTTAACTTGTCGAGTTTCTGATGGATATTACAGAGATTCTTGTTTAAAAGGGTAGGGTGTCGATAGAAACTAGATGAACAAAGAGTTGACAGATTAACAGACTACATCAAACATGGCGAAAAAGAAGCGATTTCCTTGACAAGCAAAGCTAGTTCTATCGTGGACGACCATCAAAACGTTGTCCGTCTAACATTACAGGAAAAAACGTTTTCACACCGGATTGTAAACTATAATTCAGAAAGTATCGTTACATATATTATTGATATAGATAGAAATCACAGAGGAGAAACATCTAATGATTATAATCTCGGGATGAATTGTATATATCTTTATAACGAGCTTACTACAAAAATGTTAATGATGTAAATTGACACTTCAAGAATCGATATAGAAAAACACCACTAAGCAGCTAGATCGATACTGTCAACTTTATGGATTTTCAGTTATCAATTTATTAATATGTCTTTAGTACAATTTGATCGGACCCAGGAGAAAAAAGACCAATCACAGGTTGATACGCTGGTATTGAAGAATACAAAATTACAATATACCGTTACGTGTCCTTGAGATTCGTTTGATGTACATCAATGGATCAAACTAGTATTTTCGTTTTGTTCCTAAGGTGTCGCACGTGGAACATTCAATTTTGCCATGACATGTTCCAGGATTGTACATAGCAAGCCTTAATAACTCCATTCAATACAAATGAAAAGATACAATACCGATGCGTCATTCTACAATTGTTTTGACCTTCAAGGACTCGGTGATGAAGCTCAGGGTTTAACTTAAACCAGTGGTCAATGGAAAATATGATTGTTGCCATTAGCAAACAGGTACATTCAAAGAGAAATAGACACTCAAAAATATCAAACTCCAGCCTGTCTTGAGAACTCTTCAGCTGTCAAACGATTGAAAATGTTTCGAAGTTTGTTTCGTGTCATACATGAAAGTAACTCTAAATTAAGATGTGTTTTCACAAGTCACCTCTTACGAAGACTTCAGAAACAAACATTCCGGTAGGCCCAATTTCCTTAATCTTGAAATTGTAGCCTTGTCTTTTCAATTTAGATTGCTTTCTTTCTGGAAATGAAAAATGAAATAATAATCTGCTTGTAGCCACTAATGTAGTGATATTTAGAAATGTGCACGATTTCATTAACTCTAGCAATAGATGTATTTTAAATCACAATAAGTCTTATTTGTTTTCTTAGTTCGGAGATCAAATCAACTTTCCTGTATGTATTGTAAGCTTAGATTCGTCATCACCTCTTTGTTTGTTAAATGCTGTAAATTTAATTTGTTTTTGGAGAGGTCTTAAATAATGGTGTAATAATTTGTGCCCAATCCTGTTGCTGATGATGGCAATAAAATATCTTGGACTCAACAAATATATCAGGTCTGCGAACTTTGGCCATTCTCTAGTTTATTTTGTAGAAAGATTCAAATAACTAAATTTTGTGTGGGAATATGGAAAAAAAGATATGTTTAAAAAAGCCTCTATACTAGGGAGTGGAAGTTGTAGTTTCTTAAAAGTTCCCCTCCCTATATAACTTGATTGAGGTGTAATACTACACTGTAACACGTTGTATGGAATTCTGTAATCCTCCTATCACCTATTTCTTTGATGCTATGTGATCTTATGTAGGTAAGTAAACACGACAGTATATTAAGTATGTAACCTATGAGACCCGTCAAGCCAGCAACATTCATACGCGTTATTGGAGATATAATATTACGGTAGTCCTACTTACTGAGTTGTAAAGATGTATAAGGTTGTGCTGCTCCGACACTCTACCCGGGTACTATGACACGCCCCCGGCCCTCCGTCACGTTACGTTATGTACGGCACGTGGAAGGGACCGATATACATGTAACAGGAAGTCACGCTACCAGACCTATATAAGGGCCAGCACCACACTTCACCGTCACATCAAGCTGACGTCCAACAGGTAAGGTCATACATTATAATTACTTAGGACAGTAATAATCACTGCAAAATTTCACAACTTTGCTTACTTCAGGTAATATATATCATGAAATTGGTATTGGTTTTCAATCATAGATGATATTCATTTTGATCTAGATATGGAACTCCAGATTCACATGGTAATACATGCAGGTGTACTTGTACTTTGTATCTCTCATACAAAAACTTATTGACTTTTTTTTTATTTATCTAACAAACAAAATGTACATCATTTACAAACTTGTGTAGTGTGGTAGTGAGTAACGTAGAACAAGAAAAATCCTGAAAAGAGTTATTAAGACGGTATCCAGTGTTAAGTTATGTCCTCATCAGAACCTTTCTGTGTATAAGTTGGTATATATTGATATATGTCTGTGATATCTGACATTCCATGTTGTAGACAACACATGTGTCGTTCTATAGTGGTCTGTGAGGTATATTGATAATGGTTATGGTCCATGATGTCAAGTCTTCATTTCTTATCAGAATGTATATTTTGGGGATTTATTTGCTTTTTCTATCTCTATTTCAATCAATCTGATACTATTTCTTAACACAACAACCTCTAAACCTCCTTTATTCAAATTTGTAAAAAAAAAAACATTACATTTATTTTTGTATTTACAGTCATTATGAAGTCATCATCTGCCGCACTAATTGCGATATGCTTCTGTCTCGGTGTGTCATGCGCACTGGGAGCCGGATACGGAACCGGATATAATAGCTATGATAATTATGGAGGCGGATACAGCATGAATTATGGAAGTGGCTACGGAAGTGGTTACGGAAGTGGCTACGGACACTCCAAGGGATACGGAAAGGGATACGTCTCCTCTGAGACTATCATCAGTCAACCTTACGCCCAGCCCTTGGCCCTTCCCCCAGTACCACCAATCACAGATAACGATGGTCTTTTTGGACTCGGCGGAGGAAGTGGACTGCTGTGTAGGTTTCCTAGATATACGCTTTATTTCATTGAAATACATTTGATATAATATTTCTTTAAACTGAAATTCATTTCGTGTTTTATGTTGCTGCTACGATCTGATGTTCTATAATGTATCTTTCATTTACAGTGCTCGGTCTGCCCCTCCTTCTCCTCTTGAGGAACTCCAACTCCGGTTAAACTCATGACTCTCCTTACTATAGAAGCAACTCTGTGATGTAAGTAGGAAGTTTTTTTGACAACTTTTGATAATCGGCAGTGCTCTACTTCAATATAATTATGTATTATATGTTTGCAATCATTGATAATCAATCTTTAATGGTCGTTGACCTTTTCTCGCCGAGTACCAATTCTCGTCAATGCTTACGGAAATTTTATTTATTTGGTTTTATCTATGTTTATTTTTACTGTAAACTATTGATGACGATCACTTTCAGTATAAAATTTCAATTAATGACTCTTGTTACTATCGCCAATGAGTATTCATCTGTTACAGTCTATCACATAATAACAACGACTTCAGAAATGTGACGGTGTTAATTATAATGAACACAATTGACTAGTTTGTGTTTTGACACATATTGAAATATTCTACTTTATATCATATGTCAATTTTATGAAGACGAAAATGTGTTAAGCACGAAATTGTTTACTTAAATGTGTTTTTTCTTTTTCTTTCAGACATCGCGCAATATTTACAGTTACCAATACGTCTGTGGAATTAGTTTGTTTGCTTGTGTTTTTCGTTAAGTTGATTAAAAAAAGAATACATAAATTTTGTTTTCGTGTGTTTTTTTATCTGTTTTGTTTCATTCATGCTAAGTATAGATTAAAAAATACCGATAATTATTAGCTTCCTGTTTTAAGTAGCATTTTCAACCCTATTTCCCTAGCCGAACCCTATACCGGACGGTACCATAGGGCTTTCCCTAACCTAATACTGTATTGGACGGTACCATAAGGATTTCCCTAACCTAACCCTATATCGGCCGTACCATAAGGATTTCCCTAAACTAACCCTATATCGGACGGTACCATAGGGGGTTTCCTTATCTAGTTAGAACTCATTTTGTTTTCTATTCCACATATTTGTTCTACATTTTAATCTTTTACAAAAATACAAGATTTTCCAGCTGTTGGATCTTTTACTTTCCAACTGGACTACAACTAAGGGCTAAAAATAAGGTCAAAATCCAAGATATCTGCCTATCTTGTTTCCATTTTCAAAATGAAAGGGTGCAACTTGGGATTGAGGGAAACTTTCATAAGGATATTCTCCCTTAAGTAACCTAAACTTACATTAATTTTGTTTAGACGGGCACCCTACCATAAGATGATGATGAATGTAAAAAAAAATATCTTTCCAATCTTCGGATTTACTGCACTCTACCTTTGTACTGTTCCTAACGGACTATACAATTCAAACAATGTACGTAACAAGAAACAATATTTTCATCAATTGTTCATATTGGAAATGTTGATATTCTCTTGCCTAAATTTTAATCTTAACCGTATCCAGCCTCCCTTATATAACGCGAAATCGGTTTTTGTACGTAATTCAACTTTTGTTGTATATAACACTATTTGCTCTCGATGTCGTGCGATCTGCTTAATAACAGGACCCACTTAAGTGACGGTGCCTGTAATGGAACACTATCGGAAATGGAACACTTTACATATATTTGACGTAGAATATCTATATTACAATACTAAGCATAAAACACATGTAAGTATCCTAAACAAAAAATTATGTATTCAATGTATCTGTAAGTTAATATGCCAATTTTCATCAGTCTAAGTTTTCTATGTTGCTTGCCATCTCTATCAAAAATGTTCTCTCGTGATTGTCTTGCCTGGAAAGAAAACATTTTGATAAACCAAAAACTAAAATCAACTAGAAAGATTGCGAACTGTCGTTTTTGACTATCAGTTATACTATTCATAAACTACATGCATCTCAATTCCCCTACCTGTTAAAACGCATTGCTGATCTTGGTATGCCTTGCATCGTTCTAGGTATTGACACACATGTGCTGCAAGCATGTAACCATAATAATAAATAAAAGCTAAAGTGTATATTTGTGCAAAAATGCCTAGCAACCCTAATCATGACTATGAACAGCTCTTACGGATATTGTCTAAAAGTGAATATTATGTTTCAATACAACTAGATAGAGTGTATGTCAGATAGCGAATTAACATTGTATCACGCTCTTGTTTCGTTTACCCCGAAGTCATCATTGTTGCAAGGAACTTATAGAATTCTAGAAGTCGTTCATATACACATTCTGTATTGCACCATAATTCAAACGAATTGACTGCGGCATGAATATACCCCGTGTTGTCTCAGAGTAATGAACGGACAGCGCAAAAGGACTCAACTTTGGATTCAATGCTTTGATTTTGTATTAAACAATCTGTTGTGTGTCATTTGTACATTGAAAGTAACGGACACTTTTATTTCATTGAAATATTGTCATTGTACAGAATATACACATTAGCATAATTCAATATTGACAAAATATACCTCAAACGGTTTTAATTTTAGTGTTAGTGCAACTCTACCCCTAATCCCAAACTTATTTTTTTTTAATATTTTTATACCCATTTGGATTGCCTTTAATCGCCTTCCAAGTTCCAGCAACTTAAGCTCTCATCATCAGCGACGATTTCTAGGAAGAGAAACCTGTATGTCAGTTTAATTAATCGTTATCAACCGTCTTTGGTTCTAAGTCTATATTGAGAGGCGTTATTCATCTGTGTATCTTGTGTACCAGCGGGATCATTGCACATTGACATAATTATGTATAGCAAGTGTTTATGAAGATTTCACCAGTTGATGTCTATTGGTTGTAGACCCTAGAGCAAGAGGACTCCTGTTACATCTAGGCTGCCGAGACGACTGTCCTTTAATTCATCTGCTCTGACAACCCAGTTGAATCAATTATAAAGAGCTGATTATTATATCTCTAGGGAACATTAAATAAGAGATAACCATTGACTATCATTTTTTACAGTTGACCTATATGGAGATGAAACCTGTGTCACAGTTAACATTATCACTATCTGGGTTTTTAATTCAGAATGTCAGTAAAGGACATCTACAGAGTAAAGCAAACATGTTAGATATGTCAAAGAATCCGTAATACTTAAAAATAAAGTCATCTACACAGTAAAGAAAACATGTTAGATATATTAAAGAAAAAGTGATACTGAAAAAATAGGGTTATCTACAGAGTAAAGAAAACATGTTAGATATGACAAAGAATCCGTAATACTGAAAAATAAGGTCATTTACAGAGTAAAGAAAACATGTTAGATATGTCAAAGAAAAAGGTGGTACTGAAAAAATAAGATAATCTCCAGAGTAAAGTAACTTTATTGTGTTTTAAATCATCACTACATTTCAAAAGGGGATTATCGCAGTGTTATGCAGAACAATAATATTATCATTATCTAGATAGCCTACACTCAACGTATCAATGGTCAAAAAGAATTCGTTCCTAAATCCTGGGAATATGAAAATGTTTTAGCTGTTCGTGGGTATAGAACAAATACAGTCATTCGTAAAAAGATGCAAAATAACATTATTTGACATGACATTATTTTCATTAAATTCTGAAGAAAAGAAGAGTAAATTTATTGGAAAATTACATAAGATTTAGTGAAAACAAATTAAGACGGTTTTGCTTTAAAATACTTTGGCCAAACATTCAAGCAGTCGGAATAATTATTTTCATCACAAAATGTAAGCATCCGATGTCTTTCTGGCATGGTAAAATTTGATATTCATGATAGGGCAATGAAAATACCACCGAGTGAATCTTGAAAACTCCTTTTTGATATAATACGCATTTGATTTGTCGGTGAAAATACTAATATTTAAAAAAAAATAAATAAAACAGGGCTCATTGTAATACATGACTCCATAAAAGACATCGATACTCTTACTTTCTACGCTTATGAAGAGTTTATTCTAATGTGTCATCACAAACTTTTTGAAATACTTCAGTCTTTTATCTGTCATAAAATATCTGGATGAGGAAGATAAAAATAAAGTTCCATTAGAATTCGCTAAAACCTAATAACGTTGGGTTTTCATAAAAAGAGTAAAAGGCTCTAAAGAATTGTATAATCCTATGATAAAATAATGAAAGCACTCCTTCTGGTAGGTAAGACAATGAAATTAGTAGCTATTAATACGATCCTTTTTATAATAACTATAAATACAAAGCCTTATCTAGGGTTGTATCAGTATAACATATCAACCATATTTTGACCACTTCTCCTATTTATCGACTAGGAATATCGACCACCCTGCTCTGTCCTTTTTTACTTTAGAACAAGAAACTTCAGTACATATTAAGTGGAAAGCCAGATCAGAAAGTTGAGAAATATAGGATGTTTAAAAAAAAACAAAAACAAAAACAAATACAAAAATATCAATTAAATGAAATAAACTATAGGTACAACTTTCAACTCAAACGTTACACTATATCTTCAAAACAACCAAAAGGCGCCATATGCTATGAAATGATTTGTTTTGATTCAGCACTTGCTTACTAATTTTGTTATTATCAAGTGCTTGTTATCCTTAGGTAACATGACATGTTTTAATATCACTTAATATAGATATAATCTGACTATACATCAATAGTTATCGTTGTATGTGTCTAACTCATTTTCACTGTAGTAAACACAATCGACTTTGTATATGTCAAGACATCCTATCATTTTATGTGATTCTATAACTAATTATTTTTCATTGTAGGAAACATAATCTATTTTTTATGTGTCAAGATTTCCTATCATTTCAAAATACTTAAAGTAATTATCTTCTTATCAAAAGTTATTAGCAATTTGTATATAAATACTTAGTTATTTGCTTACCATCATAGAAAAAGCGAGACAACGCATATAATACTGGTAATATGGTCTTATTGGTTATGTCGTTATTAAAGGCTGATAAAAACGTGTCGGAATCATGAAATAGTTTACCATTTACATATAGGATATCAACGACAATGTCGAACAACTAGCTTAACGAAGCGCCGATCATTGTTAACATCTTCTACACCCTGAAATATTCTGCCTGTCCCACCCCTGCCGCAGTACATTGAATATGTATTTAACAGCAACATACTACAAAACTTATTGTTAATCTTTCTCTTGTTCATTTCTCTGTCCTCGTTTCTTTGATGTTCTCATTCCGATTGCCAAGATATAATGTTGAATTAAGTATCTCCGTAATTCCTACCTTGATATAATGAATATAAGAGTTTACGGGTCTCTCTAGGTGACACATGTTACTTTCGCGAAAAGTAAAAAAAAAATTATTAGAACATAGATCCTCGCCGTTTCTGTACATTGTATACGATGTCCTGGGTTGTAAAGCAGGAAGTCCCCAGTCCACCACAGATTTTTCCAGACTTCGTAACCACATATCTATCTTTGGGGCACTGCCCATAACGTTTCGATATGTAATACAGTATAATCTTATAAGACAACCGAGAAACGTAGTCTAACCGTACTTTTTACATCATTATTAAATTATTTTGGAATCCGGAAGACTTTAAGCGAACTTCATTCACATGTGTGAATTCCGAATAAGATGAACACGTGTTTTAATATCAATTAAAGTTAAGATGTGACGTTGAGACAAATTTCGGTGAAAAGCAAATTAAAACCAGCTAGTAATTCCAAACTATCAAACAAAAGCCTAACACAGGTGAAGGAACCTTATTACATAGTAGAGCTAGTAATCACAAACCATTCAACAAATATTAAATACAGGTGAGGGAATCTTATTACACAATACAGTTAGTGAAAATCTCGGTGAATAAAAACTTAAAACCAGCTAGTAATCCAAAACCATTCAACAAAAGTCTAACACAGGTGAGGGAGTCTCATTACACAGTACAACATGGAAACACAAACCATTAAACAAATATGAAACACAGGTGAGAGAATCTTATTACACAATACAGCTAGTAATATCGAAACAGTAAAAAAACTCTAACACACCTGAGGGAACTTTATTACATAGTGCATTTAGTAATCCCAAAACATTAAACAAAAGTCAAATACAGATGAGGGAGCCTTATAACATGGCACAGTTATAAATCCCACAACGATAAACACAAGTCAGACACAGGTGGGAGTAAATTATTACATAGTAATAGGTATAAAGAAAGGTACATATCGTGATGTGTGGAGGGGTTCACAGGTTAATACTCTATATATTGGTCTGAGGTGTAAAACATGGGTTCTTATGTGAAAAGATAGCACAAAAGACACGCAAAAAAGATGTACCTATCAGGACAATTTAGACTTAGATAAGGTAGAGCCAAATAATGAATTAAACTTCATCATACAGCTGTTTCGTCCTTCTATAACTCGTCAGTGATGCGAAAGTAATAGATACACTAAACAAAACAATTATATTGTAGTTTGGTAAAACAACATGTAAAGAGTGGACATTTACTTTTGGTGGCTCTTTCACTGTAAAATATTTTTACTGGTGGTTGAATTTGATATAAGACAATATATGACAGATGTGTTAAATATTGATTTAAAAGTTTATTTTAATTCTGGATGATGGGATATGCCCATCTTGATAAAACACGAATATTGAATTCTAATGCTGAATAATGTGAATACAATTTTACCACTAAATTAAGTAACCTGGCAGCGCTTATCCTCTAACGGTATTTTTATATACCTCTCTATAACATTTATAAATTTTCCATCACGGTGTTTGACTACAAGAACATTTATAATGCGAATATAATGATGTATTTATGCATTTCACAATCGTGAATGTGGGTCAAATATGAAGATTATATATAAAACATGTCTTAATGTTGCTATATGTCGAAGGTTATTGCTATAATAAACATGCGTATATATAAATGTATCGTTACTCAGAACTTAAATAGTAAAATTAATTGGAATTTGATTTATCATATCCCTGTTCCTACAGATATAAGTATTACAGTGTAAATGTCGGTAACTGAAGACCCCTCCGGCCATACGTCACATTAAATCAGTACGACACGTGGAAGGGGCCAAGGTAACAGGAAGTCACGGTACTGGCAGACAGGGGCTATAAAAGGGTCAGAGATGAAGAGAAACCTCACACTCAGCTGGTAAGTTTACAAGGCTATGCCTCGATAAAGTCATGTGTTTGTGAACTATTAGTGTTTTCTTTAAGACAAACCACTTAGGTTTTTATATGTATGCTATTGATATTAACTAGTGATAATTTTTATGTATTCCAGTCACCATGAAGTCGTCATCTGTCGCCCTTATTGCGATTTGCCTCTGTCTCGGCGTGTCATGCGCCTTTGGAGCCGGATATGGTTCCGATTATCATGATTCCTACGGAAGCAATGGAGGTGGATACAACATAGGATATGGTTATGGAAGCGAATACGGAAGTGGTTACGGAAGCGGATACGGAAGTGGTTACGGAAGCGGATACGGACACTCCAAGGGATACGGAAAGGGATACGGAAAGGGATACGTCTCCACCGAGACCATCATTAGACAACCTTACCTCCAGCCAGTCGCTCCCCCACCACTACCACCACCCGACAATGACGAAGGTCTTTTTGGACTCGGCGGATCTGGACTTCTGTGTAAGTAATTTAGCTGTTAAAATATCTATATTTGTCTTTTTTGTATCATATTGATTACATTTCTCAATTTCCTTATATCTCTTGTTAGACCATTTACCCCTTTTCCGAGATCTACAACGGATGTATTCATCGGTAGACGTTTGTCCCAACTCTGACGTCCGCTGTGCATTGTTATACTACCTACCTGCTATATTTATAGATGCAAATGTCTATAACCATGTATTATTTTCATATTTATGTTTTGTACTTATCTTATAATGTGACCTTTCATTTACAGTGCTCGGTCTGCCCCTCCTTCTTCTCTTGAGGAACTCCAACTCCGGTTAAACTCCTGACTCTTCTTACTATAGAAGCAACTCTGTGATGTAAGTATATATATCTCCGTAAGAGTCAACGATCAAATTATGCTTTGAATATAAGTTTTCCACTTCAAAAGATCTACCATATATTTTTAGTAATTAAAGAACGGCGAAATTTTGTTTAGAATAACAATCAAAAGATAGAATATTGAAAAAGAAGACTGCTTATTTAGGCCGTTCAAAGGGGTATGCATTTATGAGTCTTCTTTCAGTTCTAGAATGAATCAATGTATACAATTACACGGGATGAAAGCTTATCTAGCAGAAAAAAACTAGAAATGAAAATAAAAACTACTTCCTGCCTTGTACAGTACAATACAGTGCTTATATCGAAAAAAATAAACGTCTTCTTTTTCTCTTTTGTGATTATTTTCCAAGAGTGTGGCACAAATGTTCTGATCATCATCTTAGTTTTTAAATTTCGATTGTCTAAACTGTGTTTTTCTTTCCTTTCCAGACATCGCGCAATATTGACAGTTGTTACCAGTTCGTCTGTGTGGATCTTATTTGTATGCTTGTACTATTGTTACGTTGATTAAAAAACAATTAAGAAAAACAACAGTGTTTTATTTCTCATTTCATATGGTATTGGCGATTCAACAATTACGTCAGTTTGAATGACAAAAAGTATAGTCGGTGGTTAACTGAAAAAGGCACATTGACTGATGAGTCAGTAGACGCATTGACTGATGAGTGAAATGACACATTAAATAAGGAGTGAAAAGATAAATTCATTGACGAGTGAAAAGACAAAGATCAATGATAGCTGCACGCGACGAGATATTTGGACGGTAGATGAGATTTACGAATGATTATAATGCCATATGACTTTCTAAAAGTTATTCATTGGTTAAGGAAGCACCACACAATAATGAACATATATTGATACATTTGAGTTCATTCCTTGATCATTTAATATTTTTGACCGTATTTCTCATTTCATCTTTACTCATTATCTTGTCAGAGTAACCCCCCCCCCAAAAAAAAAAAAAACAAAAAAACAAAAAAAACACCCAAACAAAACAAAAAAAATGACGTATTGAAGACCTCGTCACGTGATAATGAACACATGACACATAAAGTAGTAACTGCCCTTTTCAAAACGTATGTCCAATCATAATATTAAACGTTAGTGTTGGATATTTATCATAACTATTTTAGCACAAGCAAACCAAACACATTAGGACCACTTTTATTCTTGTTTATTGAATTCAGGCGGATGATTTTCATTAGCATTTCAATAATACAGCCAATCAGGGTCATGATATCATATTTCTTGTTTAAGTAGGTCACACTGTTAATTGTCGCTTTTGTTTCAATAATACCATCAATAAGGGTCATGATGCAATGTTTCTTGTTGATGTAGGTTAAACTGTTATTTGTTACTTGGATTTTGATAATACCACCAATCAGAGTCATCAAGGCATATGTTTAGTTTATGTAGGTCAGGTGGTTATTTGTTGCGGTTTGGTAAAAATGGTTGACTTATATTACGGATTGAAAATTAAACAGATAATTCCTTACGTTATTACTCAATAACGATCTTATGAATATTAAGTTTGATCGATGATTATGAAAGTCTTTTCAATTCGACAGTTTTCGAAATAACACTGGACCTGTATTAATCATTCTTATCGTATATAGTTTTACACCTTAGAAAGTGGCGAGTAGTGGTGCCTCAGGCAACAAAAGTTTACCTGTATACGGGTATATACGTTACAGGTCTGAATCCGTAAACAATGTTTGAGATTTACCTGATCATATATACATAATGTTTTTTACAAAATAAATGAAAAATGAGACTAATACAGAAGTAATAAAAAACATTCCTTTCTGACGTTATCAGATTTTAAATGATCCATTCTGTATCATAAAGAAACGTCCATTTAATGTTTACATATAAAATATATGGGTGGGGTATGTTGTTCTAAAAATTACTTTTAATTTGTTAGAACACCATGGTGGTTTTTGATCCCCAACTTAGGACCAAATGTCTTCTTATGTAAAATTTGTGTTCATGCTTGAAACTCTTATGTTTCAAGTTCGTCGTTTATATAGTAATAAACGGCCAATTTCAATCATAGCTGATCTTTTGTCTTGTCTTTTATGCTTATACATTTGGTCCAACTTGCTTGCCCTCACGTCTGTCATGTATGAATATATATACAATATGTGTCTGTACACAAAAGCTGATTACGTATAACTCTATGTACACAAATCACTTCACATTATAAGTATATCTTACTATTTAGTGTGTATATATCTACAAGTGTTCGACCTATATACTAATGACTTAATCAGGAAATATACTTTGTACTTATATATACTTATGTGTTTATATATATTTTGAAAAAATAAATAACCCCTATCCCACACTTATTTATAAGTCATTTCTAAATTTATATCAACCACGATAGAATCGCACATTTCTGCGATAGAACTGCACAAAGTGCGATAGCTTAGATTGTCAAGTTTTCCTATCGTGCCCACATCGTACAGACATCGTGCGCATATCGCACATAATGTAAATTTGTGCTATCCCACAACTGTATTTGTTACTAGTATTTCAATGATAACACAATCAAGGTCATGATGTCATATACATTGTATCTAGTTTGTCTAGATGGATCTGTTAATTGTTAAAAGTATTTCAATTATAAACCCATCAGGGTCACAGTATCATTTTTCTTAGGTCAGGTTGTTAATAGTTGCTAGTATTTCAATTATATAACCAATCAGTTACATGGATAGGATGGTTATGAGTACCAATGTTATGAAAGTCAGATTAAGTGGCAGTAAGGTGTCGATTGCGCAAATGCGCGAGACGAATAAACTTGTACTGACATTGTAACGTCACGCGCAGACGCCGAGACATAGGTCTGTCAGCAACTCGCCCAGTTTCCCTTAGACATCTAACAAGACGTTCTATACTGCAAATATTGACACTGAGACGTCTGGCAACCTGTATTTGCCTTTGACCTTGCATAACCATCGCAATGGCCTGACCCCTCTGAACCTCCGTCAGCCTTGCCATTGTTTTATGCTTTCAGAAATTAATCAAAATATCGGAAAATGTCTATATGAAGACTACCTAATTGTATGACGCGCAATGTAACCCAATGTCACAACACTGATGTGCACGAGATTTTCGTACTTTCCTCGGAAGACATCGTCACATCATACAATAATGCGACGTTCAATACAGGACTACGTGCACTGTAACCTAAAGAGTTTCTTTACCGATTTTCATTGCTTTGTTTAACAACTCGCTCGCAGTATATTTTTAGTGTATGTAGTACAGGCAGTCATTTGTTGCTAATAATTCAATTATACCACTAATCAGAGCCATGATATTATATTTCTTGTTGATGAAGGCAAGGGTGTTAAATGTCGCCTTTGTTTTAATAATACCACTTATCAGGTCATGATGTAATATTTCTTGTTGAAGTAAGCCATACTGTTAATTATTTCAGGTATTTCAATAATAACATCCACCAGAGTCGTGATGTCAGATTTCTTGTTGAAGTAGGTCAGACTGAAAATTGTTACCAATAGTTTGATGATGCTACCAATCGGTGTCATGGTATCATATTGCTAGTTTATGCAGGCCATGCTGTTATTAGTTACTTATACTTCAATACTAAAAGAATCATTGTAATCGTGTCGTATTTCTCTTTTATGTAGGTTATGCTGTTAATTCTTAATAGTGTTTCAATGATGCCACCAATCAGTGTTATGATGTCATATTTCTTTAAAAATCCCATCATACATTTTACTAACATAAACATATAAACACTGTAAAAAAATACAGAAAAAAATCACAGAGCCGAATATTTTAAATAAATCTCACGTGATTGAACAGTACAGCTAGTAATCCAACACCAGTAAACAAAAGTGTAACACAGATGGGGGAACCTTATTACAGCTAGTGATCCCAAAACATCAAACAAATGTCTAACACATCGTGGTGTAGAGGGGTTCTCAGGTAAATATCCAATGGAAACGTCTGAGGTGTAAAAACGATAGTACAAAAGACACATAATTGAGAAGAGCATTAGAATTAGATATAGAAGTGTCAAATAATTACCTATACTGCACCATACAGCTGTTTCGTCCTTCTAGGATCCGTCAATGATGCTGGGGGCTTTTAAGTACACTAATAAAATCACTATGTAGCGAGTTTGGTATGACAAGCTATAAAGAGTGGAAATTTACAATGTGACTCTTTCACTGTAATATTTATAGTTAAATAAAACAAATTTGTGACAGATGTGTTTACTATTGATATCATGTCGTATTGATGCATTACACAGTCGTGAATATAAAAAAAATTGAAAAAAATAACTCAATATTGCTATATGTCGAAGGTTATTGCTATAATAAACATGCGTATATATAAATGTATCACTACTCAGAACTTAAAAAAGTAGTAAAATTAATTTGCATTTGATTCATCATATCCCTGTTCCTACAGATGTAAGTATTACTGTGTAAATGTCGGTAACTGAAGACCGTTCCGGCCATACGTCACATTAAATCAGTATGACACGTGGAAGGGGCCAAGGTAACAGGAAGTCACGGTATTGGCAGACAGGGGCTATAAAAGGGTCGGAGATTAACAGAATCTTTACACTCAGCTGGTAAGTTTACATGGCTATGTCTCGACAAAGTAATGTGTTTGTGAACTTAAGTGAATTTAAGTTTAATGGATCAGATGTTAAGATACATTATTTTATATTTACAATTGGTTAATTTAAGTCAAATGGATGTGGTGATTATAACTGTTTTCTTTACCACAAATAACTTAGGTTTTTATATGTATGCTATTGATATTAACTAGTGATAATGTTTATGTATTCCAGTCACTATGAAGTCGTCATCTGTCGCCCTTATTGCGATTTGCCTCTGTCTCGGCGTGTCATGCGCCTTTGGAGCCGGATATGGTTCCGATTATCATGATTCCTACGG